CAGCAGTTTCTGCAACGCTGGGTGAGGCTTGATGAAAGGGAATTCCCTGAAGCCAAAAACTCACCATTAAAGGTATGTATTTCACCCTGACAGCGATGGAGACTATGTGAGTTGCTTCTAACAATTATTTGGGGTTTTTTAACCCCAGGTGTTTGCACGTGTATGATACAAATCCCTGATTTGAATACATGGCAAGGTTCACTGCCCTTCCAGAAGGGAGAAAGAGGCAGAGGCTGTTAATTGGACACGAGGGCCCACCATGGTGGGAGTTCCTCAGAGGCAAAGGCTTGGTCTTGCAAATCCTGTCTTTGTGCCATGGATATGAAAACTTTTAACTTAAACTTCTTGAGTTAGTCTTGCAGTGGGTGTGGGAGCTAGTTAAGTTAGTTTTTATATGCAAACTGTGGGTTACTAGTCCATTTTGATGCTAACAGAGAAGTTCATCTACAAAATAAAGTAGCTCTGGAGTCACTGGGGCCACTGCCACCTCCTAGTCACTGCTGACAGTTGCCCTCCTAATCTAACCCTGTATTTTACACCACTGCCCTTTGCATAAACACTCCGGATATTACATCTGCAAGCAATCAAATTTTCCAAATTTTTTGAATAAAAGTGCCAGGTTCAAGAAAACTGTCATAAATTGAGTGAACTAAAGGCTACTGTTATTTGGAGATTCACAACCTACCAGTATCTCCCCCAGATTTGTTTCTGACGCAGCATCTCTGTAGTAGAGGGGGATGCTATTCACTCTGAATTTGAGGAGTGCATCAAGGATACTCTGTCCAGGGGTGGAAGTCATAAAATCTTCTTGGACCACTGCATATTATTAATATTCTTACTACTTTTCTTCTTTCTCTTCCTCTTTTGGTGAAGCCTGTTCTTTTTCATCAGTACACATAGGTGAATAAAACCTGGGACTGGTGGTGGGTAAGATAACCTTAAATTCTGTCACTCCCAGGAGTCCTGTCCTCCACATCATGTACACTGACTGTCCAGGAAAGCCAAACCTACCTAAGAACCACAGCCACAATGAGACAATTCATGTCTTTCCTGCTTGATTTGGAAGGGACACGTGCAAACTGATGAACAGCTCTAGAATTCAAAATCACTCCAAAAACTGGAATAATGCCATTAGCAAGACAAAATTCAGGGAAGCCTAAAATACTAGCCAGAAAGGAAAAATCCAGTCCAGCCCAATGCGTGGGGGGTGCCAGGGTGGGTGGTAGCACTCCTGTTGAACTACAGACAGAATAGGAACCAGGTGCAAGGTTCTGCTGCCAGAAGAGGCTAAAGCCATTTGGAGACAGACTTCTCCAAGCCTGGGATCATGTGATTTCTGAGGGGAAGGACAATCATCTTCACCCCACACCATCCCACAGCCTTGCTGGCGTTTCAGAGGTAGCAGAGTAAGGCAAATGGAAGCCCACAAAACTCAGAGGAGTGTATTGTTCCCTGTTGATCAGGAGTTAGGCTGCTTTCTAAAGCTTTCCAGCAGTGATGCTGAAGTGAAGATAAGTATTGTACTAATCTTAAAAGCCCTGAAATTTATAAAGTTAACCCAGGAAGATTTTATTCCACTTGAAAACAGTTTACCTCGAGGGAAGAATTATTCTCCATCCTTAAAAAAAAAGAATTTTAAGTATATGGTGCAAACACAAAGCTTACTTTACCTTTCCACAAATGTACTGCTCATTATAGAAATGTGCACGGTATTTGTCAATCAGACAAAAAGCATACTTAAAAAATTGATGTACAATATTTTTGATTAGGAAATAAAATTGCCTAGAGATTAAAGCCCTGATGTTTAATTTATTCTGTATTTTATCAGCCTTTCCCTTCTCTCTCTCTTTTTTCTCTTTGCATGCTCATGCATTTATAAGTAGAATTCAAATAAAGCAGAAAATGAGATAGCTCTCTTGGCATGACTTGGAAGGAACTGCGTTAAGGTTACTGACAATTGATGCAGTCTGCTGAAAAAATTATCAGCATGTAAGTTTTATGTAGTGCTAGATTGGACAACTACTACAAGATTTTTTTTTTTAAATACAAGAACAAATACCTTAAAATTACTATCTGATTCTGTATTGCTGTGTGGAATGTGACATGTTAACTTGCTAAAAGAGGAGAGGATGATCATTGCAGAGCATCACAGGAGGAGATAAAATGGGCAGAGTCAAAAGAGCACCTGTACCTAGATAGAGTCAGAGCAGGAACTGCCCCACACACAGTCAGTAAGTTTCTAAACTCCTTTCTTTTAAAACTCCTGGCTGCTCTGTGACCTTCTTCCCAGGCCAACCTTTGCACTCTTTTCTAAATATGACTCTTTTGATCTGCACATGCAGACACCCCTTGTTCTTTGCAGGTTTCCTAGTGTTTTGTGTCAGACTGAAGAGCTTGCCATAAGAATACACATTTTTAAGAAACAGAGACCACCAGTTGTGCTGTCCTGCCCTGCAGGACAGAATTAACTTCTTCTGAATTTAATAAGTCTTATCCACAAAGAGTAGCTGAACATTCAGTTGAAACTTGGCTTCCCACCTTTCTGATGCACAGATGGGAGCATGTCTTCTGGCACTGACTCCAGCATAAGGAGTTAGTGAACCAGGAGCTCTGCAGTGTGCCACAGGCAGGCAAAGGGCACGTGCACCAGTACATGAGATATCCCTGACATTTTTTTTCTTCATTCTCTCACAAGCACTGTGGAAATACAACGGGTCAGTTACAAGAGGTTTGAAATCTGGTCTTACACACAGAGCACATCGAATTGCTCCCAGTGTGGACGTGTTGTCATGGTCTCCTGGACACAGACCCTCCAAGTGTAGGTGTGCTGTAATGCTGATGGAAACCTGTGCTGTCGTATGCAAATCCTGGGCCACTCTAGGAGGGAAGAACTTTCAAACACATAAGTGTGGAATAAATATTTAATCTCCATGATATTTCATAGGTGATACTAAATTTATAGCATTGAGGGGGTGTCACCAGATACATGCAGCAAGCAATGTATGAAGTTAACAGCAACATGAACAAGTAGATGAAAACTCTGGGGGTGTTGTTGAAGAGATGCTGCTACACAAAGCTTACCACCCTCCTCAGATTTACTGTGGTGTTAGAGAAGACAGATGGGGAATTACCCAGGAGATGTAATGCCTAAAGTGTATTTTGTGATTACTTGTCTTCTAAGAAAAGTAATCTGATCTATTCCTTGCCACAGATGCTACCTAATCAGGACTGTGGTCCAAACAGAAATGATTTACGTTAACTTCAATTCAAAACTGTCTGTCTTGGCAGTCTTATTAAAAAGAAAAAGAATACTCCAAGCAAAAACCAAATATGAGCTCTTCTGTGCTATTGGTAGCAGTATGGGCCAGCATGGAATTGCAGACTTTTGTAGTGACCTCATTTAGTTGAGCAACCTTCCAATTAAATTTAAACTTTATGCAACTGTAAACTAGTTTTATGCTTTATGCTGTAAAAAGTGAAAATATTATCATTTTCTTAATTGAAATAGATTAATTATTAAACTGTAAAACATCTGTGGCAAGGCAGAGAGGAAGCAAAAGGGCTTGCAAGGCTGATTCTTTTGTGAGTATTTTAAAAAAGAGAAGGACCAAACCTGATGAACATGGGGCAAGTCTAAGATTGCAGTTTGTCACCATATTTTATTTGCATCACTTTTAGTACACGTCTGCACTGACCCATGATGCAGTCCTGGTGATAGCAGAGGCTTTCCGTTACCTCCGAAGGCAGCGTGTGGATGTCTCCAGGAGAGGCAGTGCTGGAGACTGCCTGGCTAACCCTGCAGTGCCATGGAGCCAAGGAATTGATATAGAGAGAGCGCTGAAAATGGTAAGGGCAAACACAGCAGCTCATGAATGTGTCTATTCCACAACAACAGTTCTCCTGGGGCTGAACTGGAGCCCTACTCCACGTACACAGAGTTTCTGTCCTCACACACAGAGCTGCAGCTCCTTAGGGAAAAAAAAAAAAAAAGGAAGGAAAAAACAAACTCAATGACAAACTGCAAAGGACAGCTAAAATATATTCAACAGAGGGCAAGGCATAACAAATTAGCTCTCAAAACTTTGGCCAAAATCACATCCCTTTGGCACTGGAGCAGCAGCTGCCCAGTTGTCCAGAGCACCTACAGTCTGACTCCCCATAACACCCAGGCTTCCCAGGAGGGTGAACATGAGCCATTCTGCAAACCAGCACATAGCAGGGGCTTCTAAACTGAGGCTCCAAATCTGACTAGCAGAGCTAGGCTGGGTCCTCAGCATCTGTATTGTAAATGTTGCAATTTATTAACATAAACACATGGATGCCAGTTTGATAATTTGCCAGTAAAAAGTCAACTCAGATTGGTTTAAAGCAGTGGAAAAAATGTTGTTGGTCATAGTACTGCTGGATTTCAGCACCAGGCTGAACCTGGACACAATTTAGCCTCAAACCAGTTCTGATTCCTGGCATAACTTTGCACTCAGCCCGATTACCTTCTGCATGGCCTATTTTTTGTCCCTAACACTAGTTACTGCATGGAATCCTACCTCACTGATGTCTCTAATTGTATTTATTTTTAACTCTTTTTACACTGTTATGTGTGTTAAAGGAAGTGACAAGAGGAAAAATATGATAACACTTTTGTAGCTATAAGAGAGAAGAATATGGTCTGCTTTTGATCTGGGTCAAATAACTCTAAAACAAACCTTTTAGAATTGATTATATTAATGCAAGCATAGAACTGGAGTGAGTGTGATGAGAATTAAGTCCGTGTTAGATACAAACAAATCCTAGGTCAGCCTTCATACACTTAGCTTAATTACTGCTTTTCTCAAGTGCCATGTTGATGGACTATATCAGAAGGTTATAATGAGTTATAGAAGGTTATAATCAGATTATATCACTCAAGAATGAGAGAGATCATTCAGCCTTACATTGCCAGAGCTCTTTTTATGGCATTATGTCACTTCCTAACAGAAGCCTTGACTGTACGTCCGCCAATGTAGCATTACAGACTTCTGAAGAGAAGTTAATTAAATTCAACCTTCACAATAGTTAAAGAATTTGAACTGTCTGTTTGAAATTAATTTCAAGCAAAACTTAAGACCTGTCTGAATGTAGTACAAGGTATTCATGTCAACGAAGCAAACCAACACTGCCACAGGACACTCCCTTCTTTAGGAGAATTTAAAAAACATATGATACACAAAGCCAGACTCATGATTGGCAAAAAATGCAGCAGTTTGACTTTCAGCTGTTTGTCTTGTATTGGTTTAGTTATTCAAAGTCCTCTAGGTAAGGTTTATGTGCACCTCCAAGAAGATCAAGCCACCCAAGATCATCTCACACTGCATTCCAGACCCCATCCTGTCCCTCACACTCTCCCTCTATTCAGAAAATTATCTTGAATCTTTGCTTCAGGAAAAAAAACTTTGATTCAGCAATGTTTCCTCTTTACTCTGTAGCAACAACTCAGATAAGAATATTTTTTTTCAAGACATCCTTTAGATCTCTTATGCCAGCAGAAGGTTCAGTGTCACACTATAGTCACCCTGCTGGCAAAAGGCAAAGAGGCATTTCCTGAGTCTGCTTCCCTACAGCCTTGAGAACCATGCATGTCTGTATTTCCAAAGCTGATCAGTGGCAGTTTATTTGAGCAGATCTGGGCAGTTATAAATAGTCACTCCTTTTGTGGTTGCCTCCGTGTGCTGCTACCAGAAGAGTTCTGAGTCCTGGTGAGTCTTCCTGCCTCGCTGCAGGGTTTGAATAGTGCTGAGTTTTCCCACCAAGGATAGAAACATAGAAAATTTGAAGTCAGGAGGTGTCAAGTGCACAATGCTCACGTCTCAATACACATCAGGATGGAGCCAGCCTAACAGGCTCTGCTAAGACACAGAGCCACTGCTGTGCTAAGGTAGCCAGACAGCTTCCAGCAAGTGCCAGAAGTGTGCACAGCAGCTCACATCTGGAGGTAAGTTATATGTCAACTACAAACACATTTATTCACTCCACAGTTGATAAGACCTCTTAGGGGCAAATTTGGCTTTCAAAGTCCTGTTTGCCTCTCTAGATTTCTGGAGAGAGGAATAATTCACATGTTCTTCCAGACACCTGAAATGATATAAACTATTTTAAGAAAGGTTCAAATCCACTAACTGATTAAAAAAAAAAAAAAAAAAAATCAAATCACACTCCTTATATGTCAGTCTGAATTTGACTTACTGGATAACTTGAGGTCCAAGGAACTTTGGCTGGTTTATGTCACCTTGTCCACCATAACCAGTATGATTGCATCATCTCTAAGCCATGAACAGCAGATCAGTCACCAGCCCTGAGCAGTTTCCCTTTGACTGGGCTTTGATCCCCTTTTCCTGTAACTTCTACAGCATTTTGCTAAATATTAAAGCTAATTTACCCCTGCTGAAGTTTCAGACTTCTGCCTGAGATGACAGCTTGTCGGCGTTGATAAGTGATAGATGGAAATATCTCACCATTTTGTACAGGGAAATAAGAAGGATTTTTTCTTGAAACAAAGTACTTTATACTTCCCCTTAAGATGATTCATGTGAGTAGGTAATGATAATGACTTACCGTCTATACACTCATCCATCCAGATTGAGACCAGAGCTCCATAAGCAGTAGAGACAATTGTCTGTGCTCATTCAGAGAAGACATTCATTCCTTTCTCCTCCTCTGGAACTGATCTTAAAATAAAGCACTTCCCAGAATGAGCAACGGTACAAGATCCTGCTCCATATTGCAAATCACTCTCTGCCATATTGTGAGGGGTTTGATGGCACTGAGCTGCTGCGTGTGCCTCGCTGGTGCCCCGTGCTGTGCCACTGAACCCAGCATGACTAAGTGTGGCAGAATCACTCTGTCTTACATTTAACATACGTGCAGGGCTAATTTCCCTCATCCTTGAATGCAGCTCATTCTGCAGTAGTGAGTCACCAGCTGAGTGCTAACTAACAAAGAGTATGTACAGCTGAAATGGAGAGGATTGCAGTTGGTTTTGTTGTGGAGAAGGTAAGTGACTGTGTCAAAAGCGCTGTGAGTCTCTCATGGAGGTAAAAATTGTGCTAGTGGGCTCCCGCAAAATGTAACTGAGAAGAAGACAAAGTGAATCTTTTATCAAAATGTGTTTTCTGTTTATTCCCTGCAGGTGCAAGTTCAAGGAATGACAGGGAATATCCAGTTTGACACCTATGGGCGGAGAACAAATTACACGATTGATGTGTATGAAATGAAAGCTGCTGGCTCACGGAAGGTGAGTTTTGAGACACACGTCCAGACTTCACATCTCCACAAATACTTACTCCAGCAAACCAATGAGACTCAAACCACCACACAAGTGCTGTAATAACAGGGCCCTGAGGAAAACCCACCTTCTTGCTGCCTTCCCTGCCCCAGGAACATTGATTGTCCTGTTCTGCTCCTGGACCAAACCACTCGCCATGCTTAGTATCTTCAGTGGTTTCCATGTCCACTTCAGACCCTGCTTTTTCCCTTAAAACCCTTCTGGAGTTTTTCCACTGCTGAGCACAATACCTGTTGTCATGTCCCTGTGCTCAGCCCTATGTCCTAAATTCCTCTCCATCTTTGCCTTCCCCTCTGTAACAAGCCTCAGAGCCAGAGTGGAGCTGGATCCAGTGTGTTTTAGAGATCTTCTGAAATTAACAGAAAATAAATTCTATTTTAATTAGGACTTGCTACATGTTCCCTTGTCTCTTAAATAAAGTGTAGATCCTAAGTAGGATAGTTGCCTAGATCCCTGTTATAAAAGAAATTTAGGGCAGATTTTCAAAAATAACTAGGTAGACAGAGTCTCAGGAGTACTGAGGAAGAGTCTGTGTGGCCAGGGCATGTAAATCCCCCTGACTCCACCTGGTGATAGGTACCTAAGCTGTTTAGTCACCGCTGAGGCTCCTTAAACTCTCCTGCACATATTTGATAACAAAATACCTCCAGACATGGCCCAGCCATTCAGCAGAAGGTTTACAGTGCAGGCAGAAGTGTTACTTCTGTGTTGTGCAGACACAGAAAAACTAGTGTAATACCATAGCAGTGTAGCCACAGCACCACGAAGGTCAGCACAAGCCAGCTGACAAATAGTCACCTCCTGCTCACAGAGGCTTTTGTGTCCTGTATGGAATGTAATGTTACTGTGCCTGCATTGCTAACCACATCTGTGCATCTGCTCTGAAGCTAGCTCAGGCGTGTCTGCAGGGACTGTGTTCACTGTCTGAACTGCAGCAGAATATGGATAAAAATTACAAAATCAAAGATTTTTACTCAGAGTACCATGCAGTTTATTTTCTTGGCTGTAGTATATTTTTAGGCTGTGGATACGTAGGAATTTATTCATGTTCAGGCACTGTGATGATGTGAATTTAGATAGGGAGAATTTAATACGTGTTGTCATTTAGATTTGGCTTATTTTCATTTAGATTTGGCTTGTACTTATTTGCACATGGGCTCAAGAGCTTTATTTCTTTAAGGAAATTAAATTAAAGCAAATGTCCTTTAATGGCAAAAAAGTTGCATGAATAAGTGTTACAAAGCCATGTGTTTTGACAGTTCCTGTTACAAGTTTGTGCATCAGAGTGCAAATGTATGTAACAAGGTAATCATCTCCTGTTTTATAGGCTGGTTATTGGAACGAGTATGAGAGATTTGTACCAGCATTAGATCAACTGCCCTCTAATGACACTTCTTCTGTGGAGAACAGAACTATAGTAGTCACTACCATCTTGGTAAGTTTTATGTTTTTAGTGTGTTTGTGTTTAGGAAACAAGACACATGGCTCCTGAGGTGTGTTAGGCACCTTGCCAGGAGGTAAATGTTGAATTCTGTGTGACTTCAAGTGACTGAGAAGTTTAGTATCTTCCAGAGATGTCCGAAGGGCTTGACCCTGCAAAATTCTTTGTGTGTCAGTAATTGTACTCAGAGGAGGAGCTCACTGAGCTCAGCATTGCCCTTTGCTACTTCTCAGGCCCTTGAATTCCATCAGCTGCCTCACATAAGTGAAGCTGTTATGCATGTATGGAAATGACTGCAGGATCTGGCCTTCCTGCTGTAGAGTCAAATCTTGCACACCTCACTCAGGTGCAGGTCCTGTAAACTCAACCTGTGTGGACTGAGTCAGAGGGGCCCAGTGAAGCCTGTAGAGACTGGAACTGCTCTAGCACGGGGTGAAAAACGACCTATACCTGGGCAATTCCAGAGGAGCTGAGCTCTTCCCATGTCTCATGAACAGCAGCACCTGTGTCAGTCCCAATGCCTCTAGCAGATATGCTCTGTACAGGATTGTTTGTGACTTTCGTGCCTGTTACAATTCTACTAAGCATGAGCCAATTTTATGCTGTCTCCTGAAGCATTGTATTTCATACTCCTGTGGATTTAGCAAGATATAATCAGCATTTCAGCTAGAATTTTCTAAGAAGGCTAAGGGAATTTAGTGACAAAAATTGCTGCTGAGGATTTTAGCCTAACTTCCCTTAGGCTGCTTTGAAAATGTCTCCATCAGAGCCCCATTCGAGGCCACTGGGGCCTTAGGAAATTATTTTGATGGTACAGATGTTGGGTATGTTGGTTCTTTAAACACTAAAACTTGAATTGTTACTTACAGGGATGCTATTTGACTATCTAATCAGGCCTAATCCTGCAAACAAAAGTGTAACTTTGTTAAAGTGGTATAGTCCTGGTGTCTTCAGTGGGTCTATACGAGGGATAAAGTCAGTGGTTGTGTGTGGCTGTAGCATCAGCCAAAGATTTTTAAACTGCAAAAGTACATCTTCCTAATTTCTGTACCAAAGCAGGAAATACTGTAAATACTTTCCAGTAATATAAAGGCTAATAACAGCTCTCATTTTGTGTGTTTTCAAGCTGTATTTTACATTCATAGACTTTTGATCTTTACTTTTGTTTCAAAGGAATCACCATATGTAATGTATAAGAAAAACCATGAACAACTAGAAGGGAATGAGAGATATGAAGGATATTGTGTAGACTTAGCTTCTGAAATAGCAAAACATGTTGGAATAAAATACAAACTGTCAATTGTTGGAGATGGGAAATATGGAGCTAGGGACCCTGAGACTAAGATATGGAATGGCATGGTGGGTGAACTGGTCTATGGGGTAAGTTTCTCTTAACCTTCATTTTAATGTTCTTTATAAAAAATTATGCTTTAAGTTAATAAACTACAAAATAAAGATTGTCTGTTTGAATACCACCTTTAAAATTCTAGATATTTCTTTGTAGTGGTATTTTTATAGTCTACTTTTCTAATTGTTTCATTGCAGGCAAGTGTCACTTTTTTACTGCTGTCCTCAAATCCACAAAATGATGAGAAGTAGCATTGCACAAATTTCAAATTCTTGTCTGCAGCAGAATTCCCAGTTTGCCCTTTCTGTGCTACTTTTGCATTTGCCACTTCTCCTTTTTCTCTATCAGTCTTAGGAGGGTGCCCCTCCTATTAAAAATCTAATCCTATGATGCTGGCCCTCATTGGATCACTGATGTCAATTTGTGTTTGACCAGGGACTAAAGACTCAGCTTCATGGTTGCTTTTCAGGGTCAGCAGCAATGCAGAATGTGAAGTCACCCACAGCTTTTTTTCTTTTTAAACGCTGGGTTTCACTTTAAAAATCATCCAGACAGAAAAAAAAGGGAGTCTAATTCATTGCATTCCTCTTTGTATTTCTATATTGGGTGTACATTGCTTTGTTTAGTAAGAACAAAAACAGTCCGGAATTGCCGTTTTGGAAACTTCTTTGAAAATTGGAATTTTGGAATACAGATAAACCAGATGGAAGGGGGAGAAAATTGGCGTTTCAGAAAAGACTTTGCAAGCTGATATTTCATATTTGCTTTTTTCTTTTTCCCCAAATGCTAATGAGATGATTTGTAATTCCACCCAGATCTTTAGAGTTTATTTTTAACAAGCTTTCCTTTATTAAAAATATCTGAGCAGAAGCGAGTATTTCCATTGCTTCCTTTTGATCCATGGCTGGGTGTGATTTCTAAAAGTCACCTCAAAATTTTCCTTGGGATAACATATCATCATTCTTGCAAAATGTTTGGTGAGATAATTCTTTTCAAATGAATCAGTCTTTTTAAAGGAACTGCTAAATTTGCAAAAGTTTTCTTCTTCTGGAGCAGAATTATATGCTTGGTAGCCTGTTTGACTTCAAAATATTTTATATAAGCAACAATGTTTTTGTAATATTGTATTAAGGGGAAGGAAGGAAATCTGATTAGAGAAAGTAAACAGGGGTCTTGACCCTCGGGTTGTATCTTCACTTCCCTGTTGCACTGAGGTTTGATGTTGTGCAAGTCTTCTGATCTCCCCATGCCTCAGTTACACAATTTGGGAAACCACTGTTACCTCTCGTAGAGAACACAAGTGCAGCAAGAACCTCTGAAGGAAAGCTTTAGTTTAGTTCCAAATATAATTACATTGCAGTGGGAACCTAAACCCTCAGTTTCTCTGTGTGTGTTTTAAGAAATATCAAGAGTATTAGCCGTAATTGGGTCCTTTTGATATGTTTAAGCAATAAAACAGTTTATTCCCTTCAAAAATAATCGTACCGTACGCAAAAAGCATGACAAAAGAGAATGTGAAATTACTGTTAACAGCCAGGGCACAGGGACTGTCTGCACCAGAAGAAGAAAGGTGTGATAGCAACAGGACAAGGAGTGAAGGTTTTAAACTAGAGGGGAAATTGGGAATAGATACAAGGAAGACGTTTTTTACCATGCTGGTGGTGAAATGCCAGCCCAGGTTGCCCAGAGAGGTGGTAAAAGCCCCATCCCTGGAAGCATTCAAGGTCAGGTTGGACAGGGCTCTGAGCAACCTGCTCTAGTTGAAGCTGTCTCTGCTCACAGCAGGGGTTGGACTAGGTGACCTTTAAAGGTCCTTTCCAGCACAAAGCATTCTGAGATAACCAGGTTGGCTGCATCTGCCTTTTCCATAACCCCTTGGGACAAGCCCAGCTCAGAGAGCTCTGCCTCCTTAGCATCTAACTGAGCTCTGGCCACTTCCCTTGACCTGACTATACTTGTGACCTTTCTACACCACCAAAACCCACCCTCACAGGCATTGTAGACCATACCTTAAAACAACCCCAAACCCACCCCGCTGTTGTGATTTTCCTTTGCAAAAAGGCTTGTTCCTTTGTATTCTGAAGCACAGCTTTCACCTCTGTTTTCTCATTAATGAAAAACTGAGGAATGTTTCCCTGCCCGACCCCCAGCAGCTCCTCTTCTCACACCATGAGCTCAGTTACAGAAGCTTTTTCACTGCAGTGCTCAATTATTCAAAGGTCAGATGGATCCCTTGAGGTTTGACTGTAGACCCAGGTTAATGCTTACAGCCCAGTGCTGCTGAGCTAGCTCCCCATCCTGCCGAGCTGGACTGAGCTGGCAAGCTGTGCAGAAATCCACCTGGCTTTCTGTGAGCAGCAAAACAGCCCCTGAGCTCAGAGTACAAACCTCCAGATCCTTTCCAAGCCCCCTTTGCAAACATCATGAAATACCCTTGGCCTCTTTCTCCATCTGTTGAGAGGGGGCTGTGAACCATACTCACAAGGATGTGCACAAAGCCCTTTGAAGATGAAGAGTGCTCTAGAAGTGCTAATTATTTGGAGCAAGAGCCTCATTTACGTGCTGACTTTATCTCTCAGGGGCTTAAAACTCTATTAGGGAGCTAAAACTATACATTGCCCCTAATGCCCCTGTGAGCCTTGTCTGCAAAATGACTGTCATATTTGGCTCCTCTGGATTCCATTTTGGGAAGACAAGAGGGAGATTAGATTTTAAATGCCTTTATTAGCATGTATGGAAGACAGGCATGGGGGGATAAAAGGGGCCTGATTGGTTTTGGTGCCACTTACCCAGCAGCTGAGCTGAGCTGTGGCAGAAAACACAATCTTCTAGATTGCATTTGTCTCAAGTGATAAACAGTGACTAGTCATCTGTCAAATGCAGCGTGTTCCTGACCCAACAAGCTTCTCACCACCACCTGGCACTGCTGGGAAGTCTCACCAGGCTTTTTGAGTTCTGTGCCCTCTTTTTTACATAGCCTCACGCATACAACTTTTTTTCTAAAATTGCTCTTAGGACAGCCATAGACACAGGCAGTTGTTTGGAGGGTGTGAAAGTGTTGTGCCATAGGGTCCCCCAAAGTTGAGGACAACATCAGCTGACCCTCTTAGACCTTCCCCTGTGACTTTGCAATAAGCTGTACAAATTAACATGGTCACAGCAAAGGATTTGCTCTTGGGCAGCAAAGGGCTGGCAGCCCTGGAGGCAAGGAGTTCTGGCCAAGCAGATATCCCCACACTCCTTTGTTTCAGACAGGAGAACCCAGGTCTGGTTAGAGAGGAGCTAGCAGGGCTTTGTGGTTTGCTAGCAAGTTTCAAATGGTGATGGTGGTAGTCGTAATAATAATTGATAATTATAATAATGAAATGTGACATAATCATAACATTTCTGTGATTTTTCATAAATCAAAAAACAACATCTGTTTGGGTTGAAGAAAAACTTAATTCTGCTCTTTCACTGTGATGGCATCAAAATCAGACTCTTCTTCCTACCAGAAAAACACTTTACCAATTCAAACCCTATTATTTTTTAAACTAAGAGAGATTTCTAAAACATAGTGGAAACCTTTGACAGAATACAAATAGGAAATAGGTAAATCTTTTTTTCTTGGGTGTTGTAGAAGAGGGAAGTAGCTAAATCACTCTCAGTCTGAGAAACTGAATCACTGTTTAAATCTAACCAGCAAGGCAAGTGGACAGATCCTGCGAGGCTGGTGCTCAGGGCTTTGTACCCACCATCTGCTGAGCTGCAGACAGTCCTCTTCTGTAGGGAAGCCTCTTTCTGTAGGCTTTTATTGCTTCTTTCCCTTTTGAACAGGCTGCTGTTCTTCCTCCAGTGCAGGCAGGGAAGGCTTCCCTCCCCGGGCGTGGTGCTTTTCCTATCGCTGAGGCTAATTGACAGTAGGTCTAATGCAGCTCTTAATTGTAACTACAACTGCTTTGGGAGTGGAAAAAGCAGGCAGACCTTACAGCCTTTAAAATTCTCCTCAGGTAAGGAAAGGTCTTTATAGAACCCTTTCAGTACGTAAAAGAGCACAAAGAATGAAGCAGAGATGTACAGGGGCCAGTCCCCTGAATGCAGGCAGCCTCCCCAGCTGCCAGAGTGGGGCCACCTACACAGCTCCTGCCTTCAGCAGGCTAACCAGCTGTGCTTGGTGCTGGCCTCCCTGGCTCTCCCAGCAGCAGCAGAGGCACTACGGATGGCATATACAGCCTTTGAGTCATGGCAGAGAGGAGCACTGATTCATTTCCTAATTCTCCTCAGTGTCCCATGTGCCGTTAGTCGGAGGCAGCGCCTCAGCTGCTGACCTGGACCCAGACTTCATCTGACCTGTGATAGAGGAAGAACACATGTCCACGGCTCAAAAAGCAGATGTACCCTTTGTTGCTCCATCTGCATGCAGTAGTAGTGTCTCAGGAGGAACTGTGGGCATCCACATGAAGCCTGTGTAGATTTAGCATGGACAAGTGCAGCAGACAGGGCCAGCTGCAGCTCTTACACCTTAATACCTTTTTGCACTGCCCAGCGAGTGCACATTAAGACTTGAGTGCAGCGTGTTGTTAAGCAGATATCAGCTGTCAGCTGTTTTTTTCTAAATAAGTGTGAGCTAATGTGTTAAAAACACATTGTCCCCATGACCTGGCCTCTCAGCACACCCGGATATCCTTGGGGATACTGGACTTTATTTACAAGGTAACTTTTACCAGTAGATACCACAGGTGGTGTGTAGCAGCATCTCTGTCTGACACACTGTTCTGATACCCTGCATTTGGCACTTCTGGGGTGCCTGGGGGTTTGGCTCCTGAGGGGAATGGGGCAGTGTCCACCTGTTTCTGTCTGTACTGGCTGGTTTCCCATCACACAAGGGTCTTTGCAAAGTGATTGTAGCCCAGATCCACTTCTTGAAAAGCGACACCCAAGCAAAGAAACCGTTCAGTTCTGCAAGCAGTAATGACCAGAAGCACGTACAGGCAGGAGCAGAGCTGGTATCTCTTGCTGTCTCTAATGCATGCCTTTGAAGTTAGGAAGACTCATCTTCAGGTCTGTAGGCAGAAGAATTCAATCCTTCCTTTTGGATTACAGAGGAGGAACATCTTATCATTTTTCTTTCTTCATGTAGAAGGATATTTCCATTCTGCTATTTTTTCTCCCTCCCCTTAAGAGTCTTGAGGTTTGCAGCCCCTGGGGTCAGCTTTGAACAGAGTGGGTAGAGCCTCTGTGCTGCATGTCCTCCCTAAATCCATCCCTCCCACACTAGTAGGCAAAGACAGAACAAGCCTCGGAGGAATCCGTGACATTTCTCGCCCGGCTCAAATGCAGGGAAGATGATGTTTGAAACACCATTAGTCATGAGTGATTAGCAGAGCTTAGTTGTTGAGGTTCTTAAACCCCCTTCCAGCTCTGCACAGGGAAGGGCATGGTTGTGGTTGTGGTTGTGTTCTTTTTAATGGAGCTCAATTTTTATGGGTGCTGCTTATCTGCAACCATAAGAAGGAAGGAAATTCACAACTGTGCTGCAATTACTAATGAATCTTTAGGGTGCTTAGAGCTCTCTATAAACTCTCCATTTCAAATGCTGTATCTCTAAATAAGCAAAGAGCAGTCTGGTTTTCAGCCTCTCTAGTACAATGACTATGAGGAACCAGGCTCGGGTGCTGGATTGTAGCTGGTGCCTTCTCTGTGCCCTGGTTGTCAGGGGTTTCCTGAGAGCCTGTGTCTGAACTCGTGCTTGTTCCCTCTGCAGCAATTGCTGCAATGTTCATTTAAGGTATGAGGGTGTTTGTTGGTGTTTCCAGTATATTGAACACCTATCAAAAATGGTAGGAAAGCAAGAAGACAGAAACATATCAAGAAAAACAAAGATTTGTATCCCTTGTAATATTAAAATGCAATTTAAATCATTTACAAAGGAATCTGTACTGTAAGATGTGCACAAGGACACAGTAACAGTCAGGCATTTAAAAACTGATTTCTCTGTGCTTCAGCACATCAACTTCATCCCCCCAAAGCCCCCACAAGAACATCCTGCATGGACTCAGCTGCTCATGAAGGAGATACAGACTTTACTGCGTGCTGCATCAGCACTTAGGAAGAGCTCCACCGTGTCTACTTTGGCAATTAAAATATTACTTTGGGAGTATTAAATTTCTCCAAGTCCAGGGAAACGCTGCAGACTCTAAATGCTCTTATGGCTGAACCAGTCTTTTCCTACCCTGATGAGCTGTTCCAAGGCTGGCTGGCCATGTGCAGGAGGGCCAGGCAGTAAGGCACCTACCTCCCACCTAAGCTTTGCTTCACGTGGAATCATTGCTGAGCCTCTGCAGGGGTCCTGTTCCATTAAGATTGTTCTAATAAGGATTAATTTATAAGTACCTCATTAGTTCAACATGAAATACAGTAGCTGTGGTTAGAGTGCTTAGTCTTCCAGCCAGCAGTGGACTCTGCCTACATTTTAGAATTATATTCTTATGCATCTCAAGCTTATTGACTGTGGAATTCTAATCTTTTAACAGTGGCTCAGCAAGCAGGAGCTACAAGAGAACACATGGTTTAGTGGTCATGGTAGTGGTGGGTTGACGGTTGGACTTGATGATCTTAGAGGTCTTCTCCAACCTTTGTGATTCTATGATTTTGGGGGAAATTATCAGTGAAGAAGTTCCAGCACCATCCAGTCCCTTTACCCCACTCTGCTCATGTCCCCTCAAGCCTGTTGCTCGGGTGGATAACACATTCCTCTGCAAAGCCACTGGACACCCAGCATTTTCAGGTGCTCTATTTGAGCCACGTCAAGCTAGATTTTTGCAGTAAGTGACCACAAGTGAGGTGAAGGGTTTCTCCTCCAGGAAGGGGGAGGGCAATGTCCTAGTGCACACACATGTCTAAAGAGGCTGAGGGGGCAGACTTGCTGTGGGAAGGGCCGCAGGGGGCCAGTCCAACAGCTCTGTCAGTAGCCACAGCCTTAAAACACCAAGAAGGTGCCTCGGGCATGGCCACACAGTGCCACTGAGGCACCAGCTGGCACAGAGCTGTGGTTCTGAGATCAACCTTATGGGCAGCTTTAGCCATTTCTGCTTATTAAACTTAACTTAAAAGAAAAAAAAAGAAAACAAACCAACTATTTAAGAGAAGGAAAAAATCAGATACTACTGAAAGTCATGTACGTCACCAACAGATTTACATAAAGACATGTTCTATTATTTTATGGCACAGATTTTAATCACTTCTTATTAACATTTCCTATTAATTTCCATTCAAACTTCTACTTAATCAGGTTTTATTTTTCAACCAGAGAGAGATACATATTTATTAGTGGGAACCAAAAATCTGGTTTAAAAGATGCACAGTAGTTTAGGTACTGGTAAGCTAAACTGTCCCAAAAAATAATTTTTTTTTCTGTGTGAAATTCTTAATTACCAATGAAAGGCCATCTTTAAAAGTTTGAATAGCATGAATAGTTAGAGTGTTTAAAGTAGCTGACAAAGATGTGTATGTAGGTATGTAGACTTTCATAACAATGATTTTTAAAAGAAAAGAGCACTTTTTTTTAACATTCTAGTGCCCTTTGTTGCCCTTTGTGACACCTGCTTGAATGCTTGGCTGAATCAAGGCTACGTTGTCTAAGCAGCATGAACTTGAAGCTGGCTGGTGTAGAAATACAGATACAATTAAATATGTCAAAGATCTATTCTGGAATGTTATTTTTTTAATGGGGTAATACATTTTTTCACTTTACATTCTTACCCTCCCATGGAATCCAGCAAAGATGTGTTGACTGAAGGGAAGGGTCTCAGGTCAGGGTGTACCAACGTGCTGGTGAGTGGCAGCTGAGGGAGGTGAGGTTGTGCTTCCAGATGGCACAGCTCCAGGGCATGGTCTGTGTTACAGCTCTGTAGAGCCAAGTTCTATAAAATAGGATGACATACGTTATAGTGAAAAGTAACTACTTTGCATTCTTCTCAGATAACCCAGGCTATTTATTTCCCAGGGAGTCACAATTTTTTTATTACTGTTCTTCAGTGACCACAGAGAGGGTGGGCTGTTTAGTTCTTACCACCTCAGTTTCACCATCTTCTGTCCCTTAGTGCAGTGGGGTTTTAAAGGAGTATACGAGTGATAGCACTCAAATGCAGCTGAAATTCAGTGACTGATGACTTAAGTTATTCTTGAAGATCCTGGACTAAGCAGTAAGGCATGAGAACTTACTGAAAGAACAGAGAAGAGAAAACTAAAATATAACAAACACACAATTTGCCCAAAGTCTTAAAGACAGATGGATAACAGACCTTTACTGGAAAATGAGTTTTAGTAGCCATCTCACTCTCCTGTTCACATGGTGGTTATTCATCCATTTTAACTTAACAGAAACATGAATACATGTTGGTGCCTATCTGCCTCTGTCACGAGGCCCTTGCACAGATTCAGTTGTCATTTTTCTCCTTAGTAATTTTCAATATCATGTAGTCCTTAACTTCACTGCCTGCAAAATAGGCTGTTTCCTACTCACTCTTGTAATTTATCATCCAATTCGTTAGGCTGAGACTAGATTGTGACTGGGTTGCAACTGTTCAGTAACTAACTTGGGTTTGTTTTCCCTTTTCAGAGAGCAGATATAGCTGTTGCCCCCCTCACCATAACATTGGTGCGAGAAGAAGTCATAGACTTTTCCAAACCCTTTATGAGCCTGGGCATCTCCATCATGATCAAGAAGCCTCAGAAATCTAAACCGGGCGTGTTCTCTTTCTTGGATCCTTTGGCTTATGAGATTTGGATGTGTATAGTCTTTGCTTACATTGGCGTCAGCGTAGTTCTTTTCCTAGTCAGCAGATTCAGCCCTTACGAATGGCACTTGGAAGACAGCAGTGAAGAACCACGTGACCCTCAGAATCCTCCCGACCCTCCCAATGAGTTTGGAATATTTAACAGCCTTTGGTTTTCCCTGGGTGCCTTTATGCAGCAAGGATGCGATATTTCTCCAAGGTTTGTTCCGTATCACTCCATCACCTTTTTGCATTTTATGGTCATTTGCTGATGCCATGGTGCATATATGTTACTTTTTCAAATTTCTTTTTATTTCCAATTTTTTTTCATTTTGACATTGCATTCAATGCTAAACATCACCATCAAGCCACCATGCGTGCTGACATTCACCTCCAGAGAGAGTGGCATTGCTTTGTAACGCCGGGTATGCATTTTCTGCCAAACTTATATACACCATGTTGAGGCTGTGAAATGCATAGGGGTTTCTGCTTTCAGCAATGCTTGGAGGGCTACCGTGTTTTTGCTGCATATCTCATTTTACGGTCATCTCCTTGGTACATATAACATTCTGCTTTATAAAATAAGATCTGTTTATTTTAAAAAGTCACATGCAACAGCACTTTAAAACATCTCCACTCCTGTCATGGCTCCCACTGGTCTTTCTGCTTTCTTTTGTGCCTAGTTTTGTGCCTAGTTTCTCTAGTTTTGTTCTCCTTGAACCATCCTTTCATCTATTACTAATTTGCTTACCGCTGTCTTTCCTATGTTCAGGTCTCCATCCCTGCCCCTCTAACATCTATTGAGCACTACCCTGTGTGTGTGTTGTCACTTCAGTCCAGTCTAACCTGTTGTCCTTGTGTTCATTGTCCATACGGTCTAATGAGCATTGCCAGTTTATACATTTTTATCAATCATGAAGAAAGTCTAAAGTAGTAAAACATGTTTGAAACTAGCTCAGACTTAACAGAGAGCACTGGTATTAACTACTGTAGAATTCTGTTTCTTTTCCAAAGAAGCATTTTGAGAACCACCTGAGAAGAGTGAAGTTCTCTCTAATTGAACAATGTATACCACAAATGGTTTTTGAATAATATGTATTATGTTTCTACATTTGCACTGGTAAAGTACTTCAGTGATGTGCCTGTGATAAGCAGTAAAATCATCTAGTTTCTTAGTGATGGAGCACTAGTTATATTTTGTGTGACAGTATTTTAATAACCAGTTGACAGCTATTTAATTATTCAAAATAGATTCTTGGTACAAACAGGATGCAGTTTTTCCATTTAACAAGGTTGCTAATTAAAGGAAGAAGCAGATCATTTCTAAATAAGGACTTATATTCAAAATGCACCTTCTCGATCTCCATATTTGCATACCTTTTTCAGTACCTAAATCACTGAAAAGTTGCCAGGTTTTCCTTGTCCATATAATGGCAGGGATCTTGAGTAGCCTCCATGAAGCAAGTAACAAAACTTCCCTGAAGTTCCATGGAAAGGATCATGTTTTTTACCTGTTATAATGTGATAATGATCCTTCAAGTTCACACTCGTTGCCCATCCAAGATGATCACAGCAAAATCCAGGACTCAGAGGTGCTGGCCTCTGGTATTTGATGCAAGTCATGCAAGTGTTTTAAAAGTCTTGATAGCAGCAGTTAAATTTCATATGCACTGACAGATGCATTGACAGATCCTGTGTAGAGCAGGCACACACCTTGGCTTGGCTGTCACCGTGTGCTAGTTTTGGTGGTGTTTGGGTGTGCCTCACTGCCTAGCTGTAGCTGTTGGCCTTCTCCTCTTGTTTACACACTGTGTTGCTGCTTTACACCTAAATCCTGTATCGAAACTTTGCCTCTCTGCTTGCTGTCAAAGGTGCTGAGTAGTGAGAGCATTTAAATTGCTGTTGGCCATGTGAGTGCCCAATATAAAGGACCGGGAAATAAGCACTGGGACATCACATGGAAAGCTGCAGGCGTTGCACTGTTCCCATAGCTCTGCTCGTTGACAGTTAAATAGAAGCGCACAGGATTTTTGTTAAGCTCTCATGTGACTCTTTAACATGTTCAGCCATTTACCTTATATAATGACTGGAAGTTATTCTATTTTTTTTCAATACTACCCTGATAAGTGCCTTGGCAATACCCACTGAAAAAAAGACAGCAGTAAACCTCTTTATTTTATCTGTCAGAAGCTATTAGCTCAGTATTAATACCTGGCCCTCATTTGAAGACTTTGTCCAGGAATTCTGTTATCTTTCATGATAACAGATTCCAGGCAGGTACATGCATTGTTACTGAAAAAAAAAAAAAGAGAAACTTAATACTTTGGTTTCAATTCAGGAAACACTATTCCTTTGACCGGTATGTTGACTTAAGTTGATTAAATGTCAAATTTCTTTTCCATAGAAAGGACTATTCCCAAGTATTCCATTCTTAATCTTTGTAAGGTTACACCATTCACAGTACATTGACTATATGAATGTTTCATACTATTTTATTGCCATTAAAAGGGGCTTCATTCTTCCATTGTGAGTTTTGTCTGAATAAATTTCTTATATGAGAGCGTACAGCACTTGTAGAGAGATGCCGACAAGCAGTCTGGAGAGATCACTTTTGTACTTGCTGATAAAAGCTCTTTCAGCTGCCTTTGTGTGGAACAGCTGTGACATCTAATGACTAGTTAGATCTATCCTCGGTGAGTATGCTGTGTGGATATTCCAGAGGATATATCCCTATACTCCCCTCTTTGTATTTAATAGGAGTCGTCTAAACAGAATCAGATAGCAGCCAAAGGATGGGGGTTAGTGCATCCCTTGATGGAATCAACATTTGTTCCAGCAGTTTTGTTCTGCTATCAAAGGCTGCTGTGTTTTCTGCATAGTGAGCTGAAGCATTGAAAACTCACTTTTGATGGATCAAAAGTAGATTATTAAACTCACTTTAATGTAAGATGTGTACGGCAAATGGGATCGGGAGAAAACAGAGTCAAATTTGTAGCAGTGTTCTAAGCAAAAGTATCTTTGAAATCTCTGTGAGAGCATGTATTTTCATTTTGCTCTTTATTCATCTGGAACAAAGCAGCTAGATTAATTAATTGCTGATGGAAAAAGACGGGGGGTTCATTAAAAATTATCTCCTGAGGTCGGTCATTTAGGAGGGTATATTTCTAGATCCCTATTTTCACAGCAGAAGACTCAAGAGACTCCTATTAAAGGCCATGGGAATGACTTTGTGGGACTTTCAAAGAAGCAATGAGAGCTGGGTAACGAGATATTTCTGGAACTCCCGCTGTCAGTTCCTGTGACAGAAGCATCTCAAGTCAGCACTTTAGATGCTGTTATTGACCGTGTGCTGTCCCAGTAGCCGAGGGGAGGACCCGGTGGCCACGTGGGGCCAGCAGCAGAGGCAGAGGGCTGGCCGGGTGTGTGAGCAGGGGCTGGAGCTCCCAGCTCAGGGGGAACCAGGTACTGGGTGTCAGAATATGGAGGGCTTATGGACAAGGAGAGTACACCAAAGTGGTTCAGGGTTATCCGTCAGTCCAACAGCCAGCTTGTGTCGAAGCAGAGCCCAGTTAAACGCTGAGTAGTGTCAGCAGCTTATTGTTTCTGTGGACTGCAGGAAATCAAATATGTTTTATGGCCAGGCATAGCAAGAAACTTCAAGTTATTTTGATAAATAAAGGAGGTTTTGTTTGAATGTATTATTCTCCTGGAAACTGAATGTGAATTTGAATATTTATTTTGTTTTTCTCTTGTTACTAATTTGCTCTCATTTGACTCCATGCTTCCTTTTAAATTTCCTCTCAAGGTATGCATTCTTCCTGTTTACTTCCTTTTGAAAACACCATCTGACCTTGTTTTGATAATTAAATTATAATTCTGGTATTCCAGGTCTTTATTACTCCTCTCATTTGTTAACATGCTAATTCACTTTTAAATAACGTCGTGCAAAGTATCTGTTTATTGAAGTAATTTGGAAAATGGCATGTTGGGATAGAGCATTAGCTGTTTGGTTTTAAATTACAACACTGCACACTTGGACAGGTATGTCTTCATCAGGAAAGGTGGTGCTGGTATTAAAAGCTGTGATTGATTTTTCTATGATTATTATCTGAGTAATGAACAAACATTCCTGTGGTTCACAGTACAAACCATACAGATGTTCTGTTATCACCAGCCCGCTGTTTCTGTACTAACCCTTTCTCTCCTGCATCCTCCACACCAGCCCCTGCAGTGGGTATAAGGAGTCTTCATACCAGCAGATGGACTGGGGACAGTTGGGGGCCTTTGGACAAGGAGGCTGCCAGGCCATGCTCATCCATGCTCTTGTTCTTCGACTTCCTCTGTCTGTCTGTCTGTCCTTCAGTGTCAGCTTTGTGGTTTGTTCTGGTTTTCTTTTGCCCCATCCTGTGCTCCCAGCAGTTACAGCTGTGTCAGCCCAGGAGGGTTCATGACAGCAGCCATTCAATCTCCTTTTTGTGCTCGCTGGAAGGCTCTGGGAGAACAGCTCTGTAGTGATACCCAGTTTTCTTTCAAGTGTCCTCAACTCTTTGGAGAAGAGCTGCAGTCCTCATCTAGCAAGAGCCCTTCTTGCATGTAGGACCCTCGGAGAAGTGCCGCCTTCATCAAGGGACCCGGCCATGCCCACCTTTCCCTGCCTTTCAGCTGTTCTCCATCTCTGTCTTGTATCTGTCTGACGTGGTTCGTGCAGGTTGCAAGATCTCTGGGACAAGATATTTTTGCCTTTCTCTGCGTGTAAGGTGCTGTACGAGCGTGCAGCTCGACGCAGACCTTCTGTTGTTGCAGCAGTGTGAGCTTGAGGAAGACTGGTTTGGGAAATGTTTGTCTTCTGCACATCTTCATCCCAGCAACCTCTCTGTCCTGCTAATAGAAGAGGGCAGCCACCAATGCAAGTAAGGCATTTCCTAGGGGAAAATAGAGGGAGAATGAACACACTATTTTCTTCTGACTAGTTCCATTGAATTTATCTAAACACACTGGCGAGTCTTTTTTTTAATCTATTTCAAGACCTACTCTAAAGCAAGAGTGCCACAGGAGCCTGGAAACCCCAGATGAAGCTGGCCTGGCTGTGTGGAAGTGGATGTTTCCTCACCTGCTACCCAGACTTCTGCTCAGCCTGGCTCTGAAACTGTCCACTTTGCTGCAGGTCTTTGCTGCTCAGAACTGCAGCTCCAGGTCTTCTCTGAAGACACAAAGCATGTAGTGAAGGAATGAACCAAGAGGAGGGGAACTTCACCTGATGTGGCCATCGAGAAGCAACAGGCTGTGTTTTAATTGGGCATCTTGGTTCCCTCCAAAGCCATGAGACAGATGGGCACCTTCAGGCTTATCCCACACTACAGCAAGTGAGATAAATCTCTTTCTGAGGGGGTCTGTCTCCTCTCCTTCTCTCCACTGGCTCCAGAGGGAGCCTTACAGGATGAGTTTGGCAGGTGCTACTTTCTAGTTGGCTAAAATTGCACCGGCTCATGTAAGAGGCTGATTTGGAGTGTAGGGCATCAAGTTTTACAAAGCAGGTAATCCCGAGACCCTAACTGGTAAGGGAGCTGGCCAGGAAGGACTTCAGCTGTCTGTAAAATGCCAAGATGCTCACTTGATACTTACAAAGCATGTACAGCAGAGTAGAGAGATTCCTTGATTTACTGCATTATTCTGGTTTTATATTTCTGCAGCTGCTTAGTAGCCTTCTGATAGTGAGCACAGCTGCAGCACAGCCCAGATTGAAACGTGGAAGCCATTTATCCTCTTGGGAGGCCCTCAAGCAAGGCAGGGATGCCTCCTCCCCTTGTCAATGACCCAGCAGATGTGTGCCCCGAGGAAGCACCCAGAGGCCAGAGCAGTGGTGGTGTCTCTGAGGAAGCACCCAGAGGCCAGAGCAATGGTGGTGTCTCTCAGGGTTCACTCCTCAGAAGATGGACAAAGAGGTGATGCTTCACTCCTCAAGCTGCCCTGAGCTTTGTACCCACCTGAAGAGCCTTGCACGTTGGTGCAGGTTGGCCACAGCAGTCCGTGGGGTGCTGGCTGTGCTGGCAAGTGGAGTGTGCTGCAGTCCATGGGACCCAGCCTGCCTCTGCCCTCTCCGTGGGAGCTGCTGCTTCCCTTTCGTGGGCAGAGCAGAGTGGAGATGAGCAGTGCTTCACCTCTTGCTTTGTTGCTCCACGTTCCTCTCACCTGTTCCAGATTGCTCTTGCTTTTCTTGTTGTGTTGGCAATTTTTTTTTTTTGCTATGTTCTTTAATGTTAGATGGATTTTTTTTTTTATATATAATTTAATGGGATTTTTTAGTGGCTCAGGCAAGCTCGGGCTCTAGCCAAGACTAGGCAGTTTGCCAGCTAACCCCCTTGTTAGTTGGGGTGGGGGCACATCACGAGCCTTTTGCTTTTTTCCTATCTCCATCTGTTGGTAGGACAACTTGTACCCACTGTCTGGGGATGGCACTTGATGGAAACAAATAAACAGGTAAGAGTTTTCTTGCTTTCTCTTTCTTCCCTTCACACAAACTGAGGACTACAGCAGCCAGGTTCCACGCATTTAATGTGTCTGGGGTTGATTCTTCCTCCACTGGTATCAGTAGAGTTAAGGGAAAACATATGAAGCAGCTTTGTCTCAGCTCCTCGGCTGATTCCTGGTCAACATGCTGTCTTTGAAGAATGGGCACTGCACATGGTGGGCAGATCCCCCACCCAGCTGAGCAGCATGGCACTGGCATCCTTCAGCCCTGAAACAATACTCTGAGCCTGACATTCAGTTGCATTAAAGCATCAAGAGCTCTTACTGACAGGATCTAGACCTCCTGACCAGGAGGCATTTTGTAACTGCATGTTCACAGATAGGCTTTTTTTTTTAACCCTTATGGTATCCTTTTAAAAGCAAAAAAAAAAAAAAAAACAAACAACCACAAAGCCCAGAACACAATTATATTTTTTTCTCCTTCCTTCTCTCTTGCTCTTGTGGTTACAAAGCAGGAATCTGTAACAGTGCAACATGCAAATTTTAATTAACATGGAACATAAAGTAAACCAGCCTCCCTCCTCACTTCAATATGCAGATTCAGTCTGTAATTCCTGCTAGGTTGTGGTGAGAGGGAGATACTGGATCTCTTTTTTCCCTTTGCACATTTACTCAGATTCCTTTTTGCAGCTTGCTACATCTTACATTTTGAGAGTTGATGCAGTAGAAGGTACATTGGTGTCCTGCAGGCTGGGCAGCCCCCTAAGAGACACAATGCTGGCACATTGCAGCAGGCAGATCCAGCCTCAGGGAGAGGCTGGGCAAGCAGAGAAGACAAAAGTCTTCTGGCAGAAGATTTCTCCAGCAAAGGTTGTGTGGAAATCAGGAGAGCTTGTTCCTCTCCAAGCCTCTGATGGTGTTGACTGTTGAATTATTTCTTGGTGGTCCTTGTTTTCACTGAAAGACTGCAGAGCAAGTTGAACTAGGTAAGACCTAGCTTCAGTCTAGGTAAGACATGCTGAGTGTGCTGTCCTGAGGAAGGCCATCAGGAACTGGCTCACAGTCTGCCTGTTCACAGATACCTGGAGGATCTGGACAGAAGGGTTGTGCACATAAATTTATCAATGAATTTATAAAAAAAAAAAAAAAAAAAAGATCAAGGAATGTCTTCAAAGCAATTTGATGATGTGTGTTTTTCCATAGATCTCTCTCAGGGCGAATTGTCGGAGGAGTCTGGTGGTTCTTCACTCTCATCATTATCTCTTCCTACACTGCTAATCTTGCTGCCTTCCTCACGGTGGAAAGGATGGTTTCTCCCATAGAGAGTGCAGAGGACCTGGCTAAACAAACTGAAATAGCCTATGGCACTTTGGATTCAGGCTCAACCAAAGAATTCTTTAGAGTAAGTCTGTTTAACCTCCCTTAGAGCTTTTCTAAACTGTGAGTGCCTAATTTATGGTTTTCCGTTGTTTGTTTCTACCCAACTCTAATAGCTGTCTCAGTGAAAGCTGCTTTGTGCAATCAGGACAGGCCTGAGTGCAGTCTTTAATATCAAAAGGCATTTTATCACAAATGGATGGTTTTGCTCAACCTGAAACATCTCAAGATGGAAAACCTGACCTCTGCTATCACGGGAAGGGGGTTTTTTTAACACCAGTTTCAGAACCTCGGTCTGATGAGCAATAATGCAGTCGTTAGCACAATATTTAGCAAAGAAAACTCTTGGAGGAGTGATGCTCTTGACCTACTTGCTCTGTTTGCCCAGCTGGCAGCCCTTAATGCCATCCGACATCCCTGTTCACTTGCCAGAACGAGGAGGGGGATGGGAGGCATGTGTTGCTCTCTGTTCTATATGGTGCACTGATTGCTGCAGTTGTTGTTGCTGTGTCTTCACTGCTCACCAGCATCTGGCTGTGGCTGTATCGAGCAGTCAGGGGGGAAACTTTTGCACCCCAGAACGCTGGTTTGTATTCACCTTGGTTTGGGAAATGCTGAGTTTGCAGTATTTAGGGGTCAGGGGGAATATACACTTCCATTTAGGGTCATTCTTTCCTTCTCCACTTGCCAAGCCACAAGCTGAACTGCAGAGGGGTAGGTGAGGGTCGTTAAAAAATCTAAATATGACCTCAGGCCACTTTATGTATCTAAAAACTTTGCAAACTGAAAAACTCTTATTTCTGGGCTTCCCAAGGGCAAACTGAAGCGCTCAGCCCCTTCAGGGAGCTCTTGGTTCCCTCTCAGCAGTGCCAATCAGGTGCCATTCAAGGTGGTTTTGTACAGAAAAGTGCTCAGTGCTGCCTGTCACATACTGGCCAGGTGCTAGTGTGAGGGAGGAGGCAGCCAAAAATCCTTGCTGCTGTAGGCTGGTGAAACACAGGGCTCCTTGAGGAACTACTGGGGGCTCCTTGAATTTGCTTAAAATATCAATACATGGCCATCCACCCACATACATGTATATATAAATCTGAAATCATAAAATACACAAAGGTATTTTATGAAGCTTTTGTCCTCTGCCTTACGTGTGTGTAACATCTTTATGTAAAAATAGATACCCAGTAGTTCTCAGTTAACTGTGGCGGCTGGTGCATTACAGTGGCTTCTGTTTGTATTAAAATCCTTGTAAGAGAAACACTGACCCGGTAGGGGTGATATGAGTGTGTAAAAATTTGTATTCTGTTTAATTATCAGCCTGAGGCAGTATTATCTGCACAGCAAAAATGGGTTGAGTGGACCTGTCAGAAGAGGTAGCACAACTTGATTAGAATTATTTGTGCTGTTTACAGTCACTCTACTGTTCTTAGGGGGAAAAAAAATCTTCTTTTGAGTATCTTGTTGCCATTAATACAGAAAGAGGGATTGTATGGGGCTGTTTCTTCATTTCCTTAATAGTCTGACATAACAAGGAGATCCCTTCTCACCCAGAGATCAAAGGAATGAGTGTTTCGTGTGAAAGGATACAAAGTCTAGTAAATGTATGAATACTTTGTTGTGCTGTTAATAGTCTGGAGATGAGCTGGGACTCTCTCCTGGTGCTGGAGGAAGCAGGGCTGTAAATGAGGATGATCTGTCAGGAGCTGCCAGCTCCATCAGTCAGGGAGAGGTGGGCTGAGGAGGGAGGAGAGCAGAGCCCCAGCAGTGGTGGAGCGAGGCCTAACACCTGCTCTGGGTGGTTGGATGGGCCAAGTGGGAAGGAAGATGGGCCCTCAGTGGTGCTTCTCTCTCCTCGGCATCCTTGGGGGGCACAGTATAATTTCAGTTGTATTAACTTTTGCAGAGTAATTAATTTGGATAGAGCGATGCAGCCGTGAAACTGTTGTAATTAGAGTCTTCTCCAGTTGATTTGAGAAGGGCAAGAGCTTTGCCTTAGATTAAATGCATATGTTCACATAAATACTTTGTTGTACAGTCTTTATTAGCTACTTAGCAAGATGGTAATGGTGGCTGAAACTTGAAATAACTCTTGGAGGGCACTTGTTTTGGGAGTGCCAGCTGCACAGGCTGTGCCTGCTCTGTGCTGTGGGACACTTTTCTCCCTGTAAGCTCTTTTCTGCTGCAGCATCAGTGGGTGTGATAGGGGTCTGAGTCAGAAAAAGCTGCGAGTCCCCCTGGGTACTGCGTGGTGCTTAGTCCCTCTGTCAGGGGAACATCCTCCTCCGCCCATTCCCCACCAACTTTTAACCAATTTCAGCAGCAGTTGGCTGAGTGGCTCAGGATGTCTGCCCAGGGAGACAGGAAGCTTCTCACTGAGGGGATGCTTACAGAAGCAAGTTGCTGGTTTCCCAGTCGTGTGAACACACGCTCTGGCTGTGGTGTGGGAGAGGTAGCTGGAGCTTCCCTGGAGATGGGAGAAGTTACCTGGCTTCCTGAGCAGGAGCTCAGCACGTGTGCAGAGGCACCAAGAACAGAAACTTGGCTTTGTGGCCAGGCCGTGACTTCACACCGGAGGCAGAGGTCAGTCTCTCCAGGGTCCCATAAAGAAGCTTCTATGGGTATGTGTCTTCCTAGAGCCGTAAAGCTAGAACATTTCTCAAAGGTAGGAGTCAGATATGGATCTTAATGGCTGCAGCTGGCCAGGGAAAGGTGCCAGACTGACAACGGCAAGGAGGAATTGCCTCCTAATGCATCAGGGAGGGATGACACATAAATGAGCTTCAGATACCCACCATCTTCTCTGTGTGTGCTAGAAGGAGCTCCTTTAGAGCCTCCGGTCTGTGGCTCCTTTCTGCCAACGCCATTTCCAACTAAGATCACTTCTGAAGGTTTCTTTTACAGTGTAGATACCTATCTGCTAGGAACTGGACCAGTACCAGCACCTCATTTCAGAGGAACAGATGGTAATGACTTTCAGACATTTCAGACCTGGGCAGACTCCAGCTAGTGACCTATTTTATAGTCTTGGCTGGTTCCCTAAACATCACAGTGTCTCCCAGATAGATGCTCTCCCAGCTCTGCAGGTTAAAGCTGGATACACCATTGCTGCACAGTGACTGCTGCCAGAGTGGCATTGTCCTCACAGTTCCAACAAAAGAACCTGTTTTTGATAAGTTTCACAGCAGGCACTATCATGCTCCTCACTTGTTGGAAGACTTGGCCCCCCCAATATATTTAAGAACCAAGTGAGCATTCTTGTATTTTCATGGTTGTAGCTTGTGTCTGCTCAGAAACTTTTTACATTTTGCACTAATTAGCTTATAAAGGCATTTAAATGGCAATCAATAGTTTACATCAATTCTCTTTTGGCTTTCAAAGGGCACTCATTCATATTGAAAAGGAAAAGAAAGAACCTCTCCTTAGATATTTATCAGCATACAGTCCCAGATTAAGGACTCCAAAACACCTCTGTCTCTTTCTCCAGAACTGGCAGAGGCCTGTACTCGAAAGCAATTTCTAATCACTAAGCTACTACTACTACAGGGTGTAACTGTTAGAATTAACATCATCTAATACATTCAATTAAAGCTTCAGCATATCTGAGCAGCTAATCAAATCAATGTAACACTGTTTAATCCAAATTCAGCACTGAGCCTAAGTATAATACCACAGTCTAATAGGTTTCACACCTCCAATATGCATAGATTCAAATGGCACGACCTTTACAACCAGTTATTAATTCTTATGTAAACTTGGCTGTATTTAAACTTCAGTAGAAGCAGAAGAGCTTTCTAGACGTTTAGAAATGCAAATTGCTCTTGAATTTATAGTGGCTTCTTTCAGCTGGTAGCAGATAGGGGTGTTAAGAGGCTTCTGTAGAATAACTTGCCAAGAATGTGTTTGCTTGTTGAGAAATGCAGGTGACCCACTGGTGTACACCGTACTGAGAACCTGAAATTTCAGGTGTCCTCAAGACTCATCTGGTGTGACAAGGCTTTACAGGTTGAAATATTGAGGCAGGTAAGGTACCAACATCTTGCACTAGGTCCTTCTCCCGTTTGTGGGAAATCGAAGGCAGCTTGTGTGACACCATTAGCAGTGTAGTTAATCACTGTTAACTAAACCTAAGGAAAAAGGAGGCCTCAAAAGACTGATATTTTATTGTAGAACTTGGTATCTTTCTCAGCAAGGTTCAAGAGTGTCCCTGACAAAGCGACCCTGCTATCTGATGGCTCCCCTGTACCTCAGATGAAGTAACTTGCTGCTCTGAAGTCAGTTCCTTTTTTTTTTTTTTTTCTCCTGAAAATGGCATTAATTGCCAGGCCTGTCAGGAGTTTCAGTAGAAAGGTCAAAGATCTTTTTGACATGATGGCTCCTGCTGTTCCAGTTGGTTACTCCTATCTGCCACTGATATTCATGCGTGTTGGGGAGAGAGCTTGACACTGACGTTGCTTCTGCTGTCAATGAAGACCTCAACCTTCACACACACTTCAGATACTTCTGATATTAGTTTTAGGAATTTTCTGCAACATGTTACAAAATTCACAGCTATGGCTAAAGTCTCCATTCCTTCAGGACCCATGGGTGACACGGCTGACCTGAGGACACCGAGGAGTCTCTGTGTGCTTTCCCTGTGCCTCCTGTGTGAAGCCTCCCCTTCCCATTGCCCTTGAGACACGAGACAACGTGGCAAGGGGCTTTGTTTTTCTCTGTGCAGCTCTGGTTGCTCTGAGGAAAGGTGTTTTGACATAGAAAAAGGTATCAGAAAAAGCATGTGACTATGGTAAGAAGACTGGTGAGGTACCTCTTGAAGAGAACTTTAGGTTTAGATGGTAAAACTAAAGCAAATATAGAAAACAATTAGTTCAAAAGAAAAGAAAAAAACACCAGACAGATTAGCACCAAAGCAGAAAATAAACATTTCTCTAAAAAAACAGTGAAAGTGCAAATGAACAGATTGACCCCAATTCCTTGGAAATTAAAAAAAAAATTTAAAAAAAAAAAACAAAAAAAAAAAAAAAACCAAAAAAA